CTCACTCACTCACTCACCCATTGACCCGTCCATAACATACCCGACGCGCCGACTAAGAAGTATTTTTTTTCCAAAAAAGATAACTCAACAAAAAGTCTGCCTGAGAGGTCTTTCGTTCGGGTATCTTTTTCTTTGCAACGATCTTAATGCTACGATCTCTGGTGAGTGGTTTCTCTTGGGCCTTTTTTTTAATTCTGTAGTGACCGTCGTGATCATAAGGAAACTGCTATTCGTTAGGCGCGTTTGCAACGATAGCCTCAGAGGCAATTGAATAATATGTTGTTGTTTGCCCAGTTACGGTTATGCTTAGTCAATAGAGTGATAATAAGCACCCGGCGACTGACACAATGATCTGTATTAGTCGCCGATGAGAACATTTTGGTGCAAATCAAAGCAGCCAGAAAAGCATTTTCCGAGTGAGTGTTGTAATCTAGTTTATAAAATTATTTTAATTACCCTGTTGGATCATAGCCTAACGCCTCCGCAACAAGAACGAAACGTAGAACGAAAAGAAGTAGGAGCAGCAAGGTGCTGCATGCGCTGACCGTGAACTCTCGACAAATTAACGCCTGCTTATTTCTTTTATGCGTCTGCCCCTCTTATTGATGATGCATGTAAATTTCGTGATAAAATTGTCAAAGTTAGTCGTAGATCCAATCGGTCCAGAGCGTTCTGAGGTGTTCCTGGAGGGGTGTTCTGGGGTTAGGCGCTTGTGTTCTTAACAGTGGCAATTTATCCTAATATCCCTGCCCCCAATTTTGTTGCAAACGTTTTCAAGTTCTCCTAGAATTCAAAATTGTCAAAAGATATTGAAAAGGAAGTAGTTGCAATGTTTAGCTCGTTTTCAAATATCTATTGCACGCGAAAAGTCGGACGCTGGCTTCACGTATCGCGACGTAATTACCATTCAAGCATAAAGCAATAGCAAACACTCAGGCCTGGTTTTAGAGGCCGTACATGAGCCGAATCGAACTCGAATTTAGGCCGACCCAAATTAAATTAATTTACGTGAACCTGCTGTTCACCTTTTCGGCGTTAGATTTCACGTGTAGTGTCACCCGAAAAGGTGAATTGATTCAGACAGGGATCTTAATTCCAGCCGAACTTAGTTCAATGTGAGATAACTGGAGATAAATGTGCATTTCGGTGAGTGGTGAGAAGTAGTGGTGAATTCCTGTAAACATAGTGAACAACAACCGAGCGCGAACCAAAGTTTTTACCTGCGAAAAATACAAGAAAAGTCGGCAAACAGGATGAGAATGATTCAAGCTGAATTAATCAATTAAACTCCAAGGACAATACAAGTGATAAATTGGTTCAGATGTGATACTTCGCATTTAGTTTATTTTAATGAGAAACCAGAAACTGCAAGGGACCGCATACGAGAAACGCTGCCAACGTAGGATCTACAAGAGATCTGATCAGCCAAAAAAATGTATGAAGACAA